GCACAGTGGGTAGGGCATTTGTCTTGCACGCGGCCAACCCGGGTTCGATTCCCAGCATCCCGTATGGTCCCCTGAGCACAGCCAGGGGTAATTCCTGAGTGCAGAGCCAGGAGGAACCCCTGTGCGTTGCCGGGTGTGACCCCCCCAGAAAAAAGGGGGGACCAAGGGAGCCGAAGCCATAGCACAGCGGGTAGGGCATGTGCCTTGCACATGGCCAACCAGGGTTCAATCCCCAGCATCCCAGATGGTCCCCCGAGCACTGCCAGGAGTAATTCCTGAGTGCAAAGCCAAGAGGAAGCCCTGAGCATCGCCGGGTGTGACCCAAAGAGCAAATAAATAAATAATAATGAAAAAATAAAGGGGCCAAGTGCGCCTTGACTGCTGAGTACAGGAACGAGGGAGCTGTGCCTGGTGCAGGCTGACAGACATCTGGGGAGCACTGTGTGGGGGGCGCTTGCTTATGGGTCACCCTTGTAAGATAGCTGATAAGATGTTGTAGAGAAGCCACTCAGAGAATTCAAACCAGTGATTCCTCTGGGACCTCCCTGCCAGCTAATAGCCAGACAGCAACAACATAGCACCCCCACTGGACAGCACACTTGGTCAGCAGATGCGTAGACAGAACCTGAGTAGAAGCCTGTCCAGTGGAGCTCACGGTGCCCTCTGGGGCGCCCGAGGCCCAGGTCAGCCTCTGGAGTGTCCCAGCTGGAGAAGACGGGACAGGCAGGCCTGGGCTTTATTTTTATTTTACCAATTAATGAATTCCTTCTCTTCCTTTTGTCTTCAATTTAATTTCTTCATTGAATATTTGTGAGATAGACCATTACAGAGCTGTTCATGGTTGCGTTTCAGTCACACAGTGACTCAACACCCATCCCTCCACCAGTGTCTCCCCGTCTCCCTCCCTCCATCCTCCAACACACACCCCCCAGCTTGCCTCTGCAGCAGGCACCCCACCTCTCTCTCTCTCTCTCTCTCTCTCTCTCTCTCTCTCTCTCTCTCTCTGTCTCCCTCTCTTTTGTGCATTATGGTTTGCAATTCAAGTACTAAGCGGTCACCATGTTTGTTCAGGGTGTTCAGGATTTTTGTCGGGAAGGTTAGGCTGGAGTAATTTTTTTCTAACTGGATGGCAGCTTTGGGGTGGGGTCATGACTGCTGAGGCTTCTGGGAGTTCAGGGAAGTTGCGGGGAAGTAGCCTATCCCACCTTCGAGAAAGCCTTCGAGAAAGATTTCAGTCACCGAAAAAGCATACCCAGATTTCCAGCAGATTATATCTCTGTGAAATCTGTCTGGAGTCAGGTGGCGGTGGGGGGTGGGGGTACAGTGGTAATTTTGGACTGTGTGGCTGCCCGGGGCTCTGCTTTTGCAAGCACCAGGCCAGAGCACCAGGCCGACCCACCCCCTTCTGATTTACCCCTATCTGTTCAGCCTTGTGGAGGATTAACTGCAGCTTTTGATCTCTTTTGAGATTTACTTACAGGTCTCTTGTAGCAAGGCTGATAAACGAACTCAGATGGCTGAGCCCGAGGTGGCTTGAGAAACTCGGTCTGGCCGAGTTGTTTGGGTCTGGCCAGAGGCACGGGGGCAATTTGGGAGTATCAGGAAACCCGAAGGCAGCACCAGGCTGCTGATACACTCGCCCCGCGGGTAAGGTTGACCTGCCACCTGCCAGCGGCACTGCACCCCCTGGTTTTGTTTTTCGGGCCACACCCAGCAGTGCTCAGTGCTTACTCCCGGCTCTGCTCAAGATTCACTCCTGGTGGGGCTCAGGAGATCATATCTTATGGGACGCTGGGGATCGAACCTGGAGCAGCCACCTGCAAAGCAGGCAAGCACCCTCCCCGCTGTGCTACGACTCCAGCCCCTGGCCTGGGCACAATTAAGGGCGGGTGTATCTCACTGTAGTCGGAAATGGATCCTTTGACCCTCAGGTGATGTTTTTGCCCCACAGTAAGGAAATCCATCTTTTATTGCTTCCCAGAATCGTTTCACTGCCCTTGCTGGGCCAGTATTTCCAGAAGGACAGCATCGCCAGAAAGATGGCCCCGTTCCTTGGTCACCTCACCTCTTCTCGTCTCCGGTTTCAGCTTGTTTTGCTTTGGAGTGAGATCAGAGAGCAGCCCAGGGGAGCACTGGACAAAGGCCTCCAGCCCCTTTAGAAGAAAGTCAGGCAGGATGGGGCAGTGTTGAGTTTTGAAACCTGAAGTAGAGTCTGTCTGTCTGTCTGTCTGTCTGTCTGGGATGGAGTACTTCTGGGCCATCTGATCCTGTGGCACCCGTGACAGGAATATGAGGAGCACTGGGCTGGAGCAATGGTACAGCAGGTAGGGCATTTGCCTTAACATGCGGCTGACCCGGGTTCCATCCCTGGCATCCCAGATGGTCTCCTGAACCCCCCAGGAATAATACCTGAGTGCAGGGCCAGGAGTAACCTCTGAGCATCACGGGGTGTGGCCCAAAAACAAAAAGATGAGGGGCCATTTGGTGCCCCCTGAAGTCGGCAGACAGTATCAATTAGCCCCTGGCAGCAAGTGAGGGTTCCGGATACAGGGCTCGGGGTTCTGCTGGACTTGACACTGGCCTTTTGTGTGTGTGTGTGTGTGTGTGTGTGTGTGTGTGTGTGTGTGTGGTTTGTTATCCCTCCCTGTGGGGCTCAGGGGCTCCCAGTTCTCTGCCGGTGGTGCATGCAGTTTGCAGAATCGAACCTGCGCCGCTGGCAGGCAGAGCATGCCTAGCCCTTGGGGCTGTCTCCCTGCACTGCACCCCCATTTGCAGGGGGTATTGGGGCTACACCTGGCTGGCTCCTTAGGGAGCTTGGGGTCCATCTGTGGTGCCGGGGTGAAACCCAGGTTTGCTGGGTACAAGGCAAGTGTTTACCCATTGTACTGTCTGGCCCTGTATCTTTTTTTTTTTTTCTTTTTGGGTCATACCCAGCGATGCACAGGGGTTACTCCTGACTCTGCGCTCAGGAATCACCCCTGGCGGTGCTCAGGGGACCATATGTGATGCTGGGAATCGAACCTGGGTCGGCCATGTGCAAGGCAAACGCTCTACCCGCTGTGCTATTGCTCCAGCCCCTGACCCTATATCTTTTGAGGTGTTTTTTTTTTTTGTTTTTTTTGTTTTTTTTTGAAATCACACCCAGTTGTGCTCAGGCTTATTCCTGGCTCTACACTCAGGGATCACTCCTAGCGGTACTCAGGGGACCATATGGGGTGCCGGGAATTGAATCTGGGTCGGCTTCATGCAAGGCAAATGCTGACCTGCTGTACTATCGCTCTGGCCCTTTAATTTTAAAAAAAAATTCCCTCCCTTCCGATTTTTGTGGTGGTGCTGGGGATGCAAACACTTGGCTGGTACACTCGCAGGTGCTCATAGGTGGGGCAGAGGCATCTCGCCTAGGTGTATATATGCAGCTCACAGAGCTCACACACCCCGTTGGGCCGCTCTGTTGAGCTGCGGGGCTCGAGTCCTCCCTGGTACTGTGCGGTGAGGCCTGGGACGGAACTCCAGCCTGATGCTCGTCTGGTACGCGTGGTACTGTCCAGCTTTCTCTGTTGCTTTTGTCAACTTCTTAGGTAGTAAATACTTAGCTGGACGCTTTGTGTGTATGTTTGCTTTATTTATTTTTTCATTTTTTTGGTCTTTGGGGCTATCCAGGCTGGAGCAATAGCACAGTGGTAGGGCGTTCGCCTTGCATGCACCCTGTCCGGCCAAGCCGGGTTCGATTCCTCTGCCCCTCTTGGAGAGCCTGGCAAGCTACCGAGAGTATCTCGCCTGCACGCAAAGCCTGGCAAGCTCCCCGTGCCAAACACAGTTAACAACAAGGCTCACGATGGAGACATTACTGGGCCCGCTCGAGCAAACCGATGAACAATGGGAGTATCGTGACCGTGACTGTGGTCTTTGGGGCCATGCCAGCAGTGCTCAGGGCTTGCCTCCGTGCTCACATTCACTCCTGGCAGGGCACGGGCCCCCTGTGTGGTGCCAGGGCTCAACCGTGTGCAAGGCAAGTGCTTCACTGCTGCACTTTCCAGCCCCGCGAGTGTTGGCTTTTAATAATTCTGAAGCTCTTGTCTGTCTTTGGCAACATTGAGCCCCGGGACGCGCATGCAAGAGACAAGCCAGAGCCACATCACTGGCCCCCAGAGGAGGCTTTGGGGGCTGGAGCGATAGCACAGCGGGTAGGGCGTTTGCCTTGCACGCAGCCAACGTGGCCAACACAGGTTCGATTCTCAGCATCCCATATGGTCCCCCGAGCACCGAAAGGAGCATTTCCTGAGTGCATGAGCCAGGAGTAACCCCTGAGCATCACCGGGTGTGACCCAAAAAGCAAAAAAAAAGATGAGGCTTTGTCCGCCCACTCTGGCGGGGTCCTCCCTACTGCATCCGCAGTGAGGGTCTGTGTGTGCTGGTGTGGGTGGTGGATGGCTTCGTGCCTAGATCCTGCCAGGACGGAAGGATGTGTGTATGTCTGCACCGTCCTCGGTGCCGGCCACCAGCCCCAGGTGTCCACTCTGATTGTGGCCAGAGAATTTTTTTGGGGGGGTCACCCCCAATGCTCAGGGGTTTCTCCTGGCTCTGCCAGGAACTACCCCTGGTGGTGCTTGGGGGACCATATGGGATGCTGGGAATCGAACCTGGATCAGCCGCGGGCAAGGCAAACGCCCTACCCGCTGTGCTATCGCTCCAGCCCCGTGGCCAGAGAATTGAAATGAGACTTTTCAGGAGAGAGCTCACTGGGCTGAATTGCAGTTCTTCCAACAATGAAGCAAGTACTGTGTGCCTGGTGTTTGCTGGGGAGAGCTTCCCTGGCGGTGCTTGAGTACCAGCAGAGGTTCTGTGGCAGGAATTGTGCCCGGAACCTCCCGCATGTAAGGCATGGCCCCCACTTGACAGGAAGGAAAGGGAAGGTCAGCAGGTGGGGGTTCCTAGGCCTCATACTGACAGTGCGGGGGGCTCCTGGTCCTGGCTCCTGACATGCCCCTTTCTCTCTGCAGGTGGCGCTGTGCACCCAGGTGGCCCTGGGCATGGAGCACCTGTCCAACAGCCGCTTTGTGCACAAGGACCTGGCCGCACGCAACTGCCTGGTCAGCGCGCAGAGGCAGGTGAAGGTGTCCGCCCTGGGGCTCAGCAAGGACGTGTACAACAGGTAGGAGGCTGGGGTGGGCCGGCGCTGTGTCCCCGTCCCCTCTTGAGAGGTGTCGCCCAAGTCCCTGACTTGGACTTTCTAGGTTTTTTTTGTTTTTTTTTTGGGGGGGGGCTTTTTTGGGTCATACCCAGCGATGCACAGGGGTTACTCCTGGCTCACACACTCAGGAATCACTCCTGGTGGTGCTCGGGGGACCATATGGGATGCTGGGAATTGAACCCGGGTCGGCCACATGCAAGGCAAACGCCCTACCCGCTGTGCTATCCAACTTGCACTTTCTGTACTGGCACAAAAGTAAAACAGAGGGGCTGGAGCAATAGCACAGTGGGTAGGGCATTTGCCTTGCATGTGGCCGACCCAAGTTCGATTCCCAGCATCCCATCTGGTCCCCTGAACACTGCCAGGAGTGATTCCTGAGTGCAGAACCAGGAGTAACCCTTGTGCATTGCCGGGTGTGACCCCCCCCAAAAAAAAAAGTAAAACAGAGTCGGTTGGAGCCATAGTACAGAGGATCAGGCTCTTGCTTGCATGCAGTTGTAGCGTGCGTGTTCAATCCCCGGCACCCCACATGGTCCACTGAGCCCTGCCAAGGAGCACAGAGCTGAGTATCGCTGGGTGTGACTCCCCCAAAACAAAACCAAAAACAAACAGGGACTGGAGAGATAGTACTGTGTGTAGGGCACAGTTACACACAGGAAACCTGGGTTTGATCCTTGGTGCCTCATGTTCCCCAGGCACTGCTGGGTGTGGCCAAAAAGCTCCCCGAAAAATAGTGATAGAGCAGTTTTTGTTTGCTTTTGTTAGAGAGCAACAGCTGGCATTGCTCGGGGATTATTCCTAACTCTGCACTCAGGAGTTATTCGGGCATATGGGATGCCGGGAATCGAACCTGGGTTGGCTGCATGCCAGGCAAATGACTTAATCCACCGTACTATTACTCCAGCCCCAGATACAGCTTTTTTTTGTTTCTCTTGGGGCCATACCCAGAGGTGCTTGAGGGACCATGCAGGGCTGGGGCTGGAGCCGGGGTTTTCCACATGCAGGGCCTGTGCTCCGGCTCTCTGAGCTGCTCCTTGGCCCGTGTGCTTACTTCTCGTAACTGTCCGAGCCTTTGTCTAATTCTTCCCGTAGGCTCCTCTCACTGCCCGCAGTCATTTCAGTTCGGGAGCATCCAGTTCATGCCCCACACTTGCCCAACTCCTGTCAGACTGCGCGGGAATGCCTCCACGTTTTCTGGGAAATTACCCCTGATCGAATCACCCCCAATCTGAGTCACCCCAATTCATCTGAGAGTCACTGTAGTCATGGTGGCTTGACTGCCAAGTGAGGTTTTCCCTCCATTTGCTGTTCTTGCTTGTTACATTTTAGGCCTGAGCACAATGATTGTTTTTGTTTCTTTTTGTGTTCTTGTTTTTATTTTGGGGGCACACCCAGCTCTGTGCTCAGGGATCACTCCTGGTGGGCTCTGGAACCATATGGGATACCAGGGGTTGAACCCCAGTCAGCCACGTGCAAGGCGAGCGCCCTGCCAGCTCCAGCCCTGATTGGTCTTATATAAGACCTGATTGGTTTTTCTCATATTAACATTATATTAACATCTTCTATTATATTAACATTGGTCTTTCTTATTCTCATTCAGGCAAATTTTTATTCTAATGGGATTTTGTAACCATCCAATGCCACAGGATACTTCCAAGCTTCATTTTGTATACCCCCGTGTGTGTGTGTATGTGTGTGTGTGTGTTCATCCCCCGTCCCCCCCCACCCCCTCCCCCGTGCCCCGTCCCCGCCGTGATCAGCACATGTCACCCATAAGTACCTTGCTGTAGAAAAAGCTGAGGGTTTTTTTTTTTTTTTTTTTTTTTTTTTTGCTTTTTGGGTCACACCCGGCAATGCACAGGGGTTCCTCCTGGCTCTGTGCTCAAGAATTACCCCTGGCGGTGCTCAGGGGACCATATGGGATGCTGGGAATCAAACCTGGGTTGGCCGCGTGCAAGGCAAATGCCCTACCCCCTGTGCTGTTGCTCCAGCCCCAAAAGCTGAGTTTTAAGAGCCAGGGCAATAGTATAGCCGTTAGGGTATTTGCTTTGCACTTGGCCAGCCCAGGTTCAATCCCCTGTGGTCCTGTATGGTCCCCTGAGCCCTGTCAGGAGTGATCCCTTAGCGCAGAGCCAGGGGTCAGCCCTGAGCACCACTAGGTGTGGCCCAAAAACAGAAGAAAAAGAAAAGTGATGTTTTAGCCCACGTGGACACCCAGATCTGGACCAGGTCCGCCACCTCGAGTGGCAAAGGCCCCTCACGCCTGTGTGTGGTTCTTTCCGCAGCGAGTACTACCATTTCCGTCAGGCCTGGGTGCCCCTGCGCTGGATGGCCCCCGAGGCTATCCTGGAAGGTGACTTCTCCACCAAGTCCGACGTCTGGGCCTTCGGGGTGCTGATGTGGGAAGTGTTTACCCACGGAGAGATGCCCCATGGAGGGCAGGCGGATGATGAAGTGTTGGCAGGTAGGCCTCGGGGTGCCCAAGGGGTGAGTCCCAGGGGCAGGGAGTCGGCCTTCGCGTGGGCGGGGGCGGGGGGGGACACCAGTGTTCTCAGAAACAAAGCCCACCCCCCTGCAGCAGTTCTTTGAAACACAAGAATCCTTAGTCTGGTGGGTAAAGCCTGTATTCCACAACATACTGTCGTCATCCTATAATCCTTGCATCCTGGGTTATATTTAATTTTTCAGTCATAGTAGCACAATTTTAAAAGTTTCAGGTAATACCCGCAGTCCACTCCTTCACCCAAAAAAAAAAAATGTGTCATGAAGTCTGCAAGGGTCATGCAGTAAACCCTGAGGTCCACCGGAGAGAGCCGGGGTGGGCGGGACGTGGGTTTCAGAGTCCCCGAGTCAGGCTCCTAGGAGCCCCAGCCCCGCTCACCCCCGTGATGGTGGGGTGCCTCACGAGCTGTCTGCCCTGCTCCCACAGACCTGCAGGCCGGGAAGGCCCGGCTGCCGCAGCCCGAAGGCTGCCCATCCAAGCTCTACCGGCTGATGCAGCGCTGCTGGGCCCTGAGCCCCAAGGACCGGCCCTCCTTCAGCGAGATCGCCAACGCCCTGGGTGACAGCCCCACGGACAGCAAGCCGTGAGGGGAGCCCGGCCGCGGGGCCTCAGCGTGGCGCGGGGTTGGGAGGCCTCCCCGGGACCCCCCGGGAGCATGCTGGGCCAGATCCCCCGTCCTCTCTGGCCCTTGGGGGCCCTGCTCACCCCCACCGGCACTGCTGGGGCTCCTCTTCCCTGGGCAGTTCTCTCTTCCCTCACGGCCCTGGGGGAGGTGGATTCGAACCCAGGCCGGGTAGCCAGGGCCTCTACTGGCAGTTTCTCTGCCTCCCGTTCCCTCCATCAGGGTAAGTGTGGGCGCTCAGGTAACCCCTGTTTCTGGCTGACGTCTCCTCCACCTGGACCAGGTCCAGTTCTGCCTCTCGCTCGCCCACCGGTGTTCCCAAGGGAAGGTGGGGCCGAGGAGATCCACCCTGGGGGGGTCATCTGCCCACGGGGCCCACCTCGGTCGGGGCCGCGGCCGGGTCCTGAAGGCCACCAGCCGGCCTTGTGTGTGCTCACCCTTCCTTCCCGCCACCCTCTCTCTCTCCTTCCTTCCTCCCAAGTGCCTGGCAGATGAAGGAGTTTTCAGGAGCTTTTGACACTATATAATCCGCCCTTTTTGTATGCACCCGGGCGGCTTTTGTATGTAATTGCAGCGTGGGGTGGGGGGGGCCTGGGTGGGGGGGGCTGGAACCAGTGGCGGGGGTGTAGGCCACCCCCCGCCTCACACCTGTATTGTTGTTTCTTGTTGTTTGTTTGGTTTTTTTATTTTTCGAAGTTGGTTTTTGTTTTTTGGTTTTTTGGTTTTGTTTTGTTGTTTTGTTTTTTTTACACTCGCTGCTCTCAATAAAGAAGCGTTTTTTTACAACCCTGCTTCTGCTGCTCATTCCTCACCCTGCATGGCCGTTCCCTCCTCCCCGAGAAGCCCAGTTTCCTTCCCCGACGCTGGAGGAGGTATTGATTGGCGCCAACGTGGATTTCCCTGAGCTGGTGGGTTCTCAAGCATCGGATGGAAGATTTGCATACAGATCTCAAAAGATGAAGAAGAGTGAGACTTGATTGTACCGTTTCATCAAATGGGTTTGGGTCCCTCCCGCCGTGTCCAGCCTCTCCTTTCTTTACACGCGTCCTGGTGCCGCCCCGTCTTGTATATGGCCTCCGGTTCCTGTCTCCCTCACCTCCGGTGAACGACGGCCACACCTTGTCCTGTGTCACTAGCCCACATTCACTTTCCTAGTCTGAAATCGTGTCTCTAGGACCTTCCCGGACTGTACCTCAACAGTCCCCAGCGTCTTGTCCTTTGTCGCCAGCTGGCCACCAAGTGAGTGTGGGCAAGATCCTGAGCTCTACCTGGCGCTGGGCCTCCCAACTGTGCCCCAGCAGTTCTGTCGTCCTGTCCCACTTTGAGAGGCTCCAGCCACAGCCACGGTGCATGTGTGTGAGGCCCCCCTGGCTGGGCGTTTGTGCCCCACCTGTAGTCTGCCCCTGCCCTTGGCTGTCTGTCTGTCCGGGTGCTCAGTGCTGCCTGATTCTGCAGTCTGCCTGGGTGTGGGCAGAGAAAGATAGTGGGGAGAGAGAGAAAATTGGAGCCCCCTTTTATCTGCTCTCATCTCCCACCCTGGCTCTCCCATTACCTCTTTTGATTGGTTGTTACTTTAAAGGCCCCCCCCTTTGTTACCTTGAGATTTAAAATGACTGACAGTTCACCCGGCACGCCCTCCCTTCCACTCAGAGGCTCTGGGCAGGGGAGAGTAGAAGAGTGAGGAAGGGTTGCGGAAGGTGGCAGGGCAGACGCCGAATCTCTTTAAGACTTAAGGAAGGGGGACTGGAGAGAGAGTGCAGGGATTAAGGTCATCACCTGGCCCGTGGCTAACCTGTGTCCGCATAGCACAACGGGCTGGTGCTTGCCCTGCATGAAGTCAACCCAGGCTCACTTTCTGGCATCCCAGATGGTTCCCTGAGCCCTCAGGAATGAGCCCAGAGCAGAGAGCCAGGAGTCAGCCCTGAGCACTGCCAGGTATGTTCCCAAAACAAACAAAAGAGGGGGCTGGAGCAATAGCACAGCGGGTAGGGCGTTTGCCTTGCACGCGGCTGACCCAGTTCAATTCTCAGCATCCCATATAGCCCCCTGAGCACCGCCAGGAGAATTCCTGAGTGCAGAGCCAGGAGTAACCCCTGAGCATCGCCGGGTGTGACCCCAAAAAATTAAAATTAAAAAAAAAAGAGAGGGCCCAAGAGAGAGTACAGTGGGTAGGGCGTTTGCCTTGTCTATGGCTGATCTTGATTCAATCCTCAGCAACCCATATGGTCCCTTGAGCCTGCCAGCAGAGATCCCTGAGCCCAGAACCAGGAATCACCCCTGAGAAGTGCCACGTGTGGCACAAAAAAAAAAAGACTTGGGGCTGGAGTGATAGCAGAGCGGGTAGGGCATTTGCCTTGCACACGGCCAACCTGGGTTCAATTTCCAGCATCCCATATGGTCCCCTGAGCACCGCCAGGAGTAATTCCTGTGCATTGCCGGGTGTGACCCAAAAAGCAAAAAAAAAAAAAGACTTGAGGAAGAAACCAAGGAATGGGCTCCACAGCCCTCCCCCCCCCCCAAAAAAAAGAAAAACTCCTTTCTTGGGTGGGGGGGTGGTGCAGTGGGCTAGAGCACTTGCTTGCTTGCACGTGGGACTCTTGGGTTCAATTCCCATGTGTTTCTCACACGGGAATTGTACCCACGTGGTTTCCCCATCCGCCCACCAAGCAATGCCAGAAATAACCCTCCCGGCATAGAACTTGGAGCAGCCCCCCACAGACACCACTGGGTGTGTCTCCAGGTCCATAGAGACCCACGTGCCTTGCCTTGCAAGTGGGATGGGGCACTCCCGGCCCCACTCCACCTATGGGTGCCAGACCTGCTGCAGGCCACCTGGTGTGTGCACGGCTGCAGTGAGGCGCTCTGAGTGCCGCAGAGCTGTGCTGGCCGCAGACACTGCAGGGGAGCAGGGCCCCTCAAACACTATGGCCATGCATGTGTGTGTGACTCTTGGTCACTGCAGCAGCGCTGCTGAGAGTCTGCTGCCTCCTGACCTGAACATGGCACCCTGGTTTCTCTGCCCTGTCCCAGAAACTTCTGCCTTAAAGAAATGAATTCTGGGGCCGGAGCAGTAGTACAGCGGGTAGGGCATTTGCCTTGCATGAGGCCAACCTGGGTTCGATTCCCAGCATCCCATATGGTCCCCCGAGCACCGCCAGGAGTAATTCCTGAGTGCAGAGCTAGAGTAACCCCTGTGCATCGCTGTGTGTGACCCCCCCAAAAAGCCAATAGCCAATAAATAAAACTGAGCCTCAGAGAGCTAAACTGGACACCCCTCCCCTAAAAAAAAAAAAACAAAAAAAGAAAAGAAATGAGTTCTTGGGGCAGAGGCTGAGCGTTAAGCACAGCGAGGAGAGCGTTTGCCTTGCACGCAGCCAACCTGGGTTCAATCCCTGGCATGCCATATGGTCCCCTGAGTACAGAGCCAGGAGGAACCCCTGAGCATCGCCGGGTGTGACCCTAAAAGACCAAAAGGTTTAAAAAATGAAAAAAAGAAATGAGTCCTGGGGCTGGAGCAATTGTGCAGTGAGATGCCTTGTACAGGGCCCACCCAGGTTTGATCCTTAGGACCTTATAAGGTCCTTAAGCTCCACCAGGGTCGTTCCTGCGTGCAGAGCCAGGAGTAAGCCCTGAACACCGCTGGGTGTGTCCCAGAAACCAAATAATAATAATAATAATTTAAAAACTGACTTCTTGAGTACTGACTTTGCATGTATGAGGTCCTGGCTTCAATTTCCAGCACTGCCAAGACAGAAAAATAAAAGCATACAGTCCTTAAGGCTGAAATTGTTTTAGTTTCTTCTGTGCTTGGAGGACCATAAGGGGTGCATGCACGCACACACACGCGCGCGCACACACACACACACACACACACACATATATAAAGACTTTGTATAGGACTGGAGAGAAAGTACAGGGGTTAAGGCATTTTTCTTGTATGTGGCCAGCCCCTGTTTGAATCCCAGCACCACCAGGGTTGGCCATGTGCAAGGCAAACGCTCCACCCACTGTACAATTTATTTATTTCCATTTTTTTTTCCCTTTTGGGTCACACCCAACTGCTCAGAGGTTACTCCTAGTTCTGCCCTCAGGAATTACTCCTGCCGGTGCTTGGGGGACCCTGTGGGACACTGGGAATCGAACCCAGGTCGGCTGCGTGCAAGGCAAACACCCTACCTGCTGTGCTATTGCTCCAGCCCCCTACTGATTTATTCTTAATTAAAGTAATACTTACAGTGGAAGGATTCAAATGGTAGAGTTGTTTATTTATTTATTTATTGCAGAGGCGGGGGGTGTAGGTGGCACACCCAGTATTTTCCTAGGGCTTACTCTTGGCTGTGCACTCAGTGATCACTCCTAGTGGGCTCATGGGATCATGTGGTAGGCTGGGATCAAACCCAGGTCCGCCACGTGCGAGGCAAGTGCCCTGCCCTGTCAAAGCAAAATGGCACTTGCTCACTTTCCCCAAACCCGTTCTCAGGTCTAGTAAGCGCTAGTAGTAGCTTGCATGTTCCCTTCCAACCTTTTCCTGGGCGAGCTGACTCTTGACCGCTTTTCTTTTCCCTGCCCTCTAGGATTTCCCTCCAGGATTTCACAATCGAGATTGCTTATATGCAAAGTTAAGGATCTTTGTGCAGGGTCTGGAAAGATAGTACAGAGGGCAAGGTCTTCTTATCCAGCTTCAATCCCCAGCATCACATATGGTCCTCCAGCCTGCCAGGAGTGATCCCTGAGCTGGGTGTAACCCAGAACACACACACACACACACATACACACACACACACACACACACACACACACACACACTGTGGGACTGGAGAGAAAGTACAGGGGTTAAGGCATTTCCTTTGTATGCGGCCAGCCCGTTTGTATCCCCAGCACCACCAGGGATCACTCCTGAGCAGAGTTAGAACTCCTGAGCACTGTGGGATGTGGCAAGTACCTTCCCCACTATTCAATCTCTGTGGC